TACGTTGCAACTGACTGACTGATCAAGATAAATGTTAGAGTGGAGTGGAAATAATCATCATTGTACATCTGATGTAACAGTGTAGCTGAGCTATTGAATATCAACTCTGTTTACTTAACTTGAAGCTTTAATTCAGACTGGAAAGTTTAAGCCTACTACAAATTATACTCATTGTGAAATCTGAGTACTTGAACTAGCGATGTAGTAGTCACAATACTTCATACGATGATGTGTAAGGTCAAAAGCACCTCAATGTTTACCACGTTCCTTGTTATAACGAATCATTGCCAGTTGTTTGGGATGTTAGATCCCCAGAATTCGCTTGATAAATAAATATCTTTATTTTGAATTTATTTCATGAACCGATCAGTTGACCATGAGATCACATTTCCCACCAAGAAAATCCTTGGCTGTGATTAGTTACTGTGTCATTTTAGTGTGTGCTATTTTTGTGACTATCCTAAGGATGTCTCTATGGCTAGTATAAATAAACGCAATTTGAGTGCTTGGATTGATTGTGTGCTGGCTGGGTGTTTGTAGAATACAATTTTTTAGTTCAGTCAGTCAGTCAGATGCAACTTAGAACTTCGTACGTAAGTAAGTACATCAGTTTATGTTGCCATAACACATCAGCACAGAGGGATGTAATTGTCAATTCAAATCGAATAGTAGTAAAAGTAGTAAATGTGTTAGAAGTAATCGGAGAGGTTAGGGTTAGAAGATATTATTCAAGAAGTATGATTCAGTGAGATGAATTTAGATAGACAGAACTAGAGGTGTTGACGAATCCAGAAGATTAGGATTTGAGACAACACAAAGCATAAATGTACCGGCGCCAGTGCAAACGATTTTGAGCCATGTTATTCAAGGTCTCTAACCATCGATTATTATCATCTCGTGGACCCCAACCAGGTAGTCGACAACTATCGATATGCCTTAGTCCACTTGTCAATGACTTCATGGATTTCTGCCATGTTTTGGTCTGGCCACTACTAGCTTTCTCCCAACCTACTCCTACACTACAAAACAAAGCTCTTTGAGGCAGTCGGTGGTTAGGCATACGCAACACATGTCCCAACCACCTCAACTGATGAGGCGTCAGCACTTCATCTATTGATCTGCCATTCTTACCTAGCACCCGATTCCTAATAACAGCGCTGCTCACTCGGGTGTCACAGGATATACGAGCAATGCTCCGAAGACACCTGTGATCGCAAACCAGTAACCTGCGAATATCTTCTACTCTCACTGGCCATAAAGTAGGGCGGAGCGAACCACTGCACAGTACACTTGTACTTTAGTCAGCAAACGGATATCTCACCTACGCCATAAATGACACAGGTCGGAAAAAGCCAATCGAGCTTTCTGTATCCGAGCTGATATTTCGTCAGTCACCCGGTCATAGGCACTGATAAGCCTCCCCAGATAAGCGAAGCCGTCTATTTTTTTTACGTTATATCATGACTTCTTGCTGATATCTTTTGGTCAAAGGATCATAGTAGCCTACCTGGACACTGGTTCATTGTTTTGTTCTCGTAATAGTTTAAGCATACCTAGAGACGAGCATAACACCAGTGGAAGAATATTGTTGTGTAATTCAATAAACACGTAGATTATTTCTATTAATAATGTGAAACAAATACTTTGATTTAGTTCTGTTTTTATTCATCAGTAGTCTTGATTTATTTATTGACATAGGTGTGAATAGTGGTTAGTGGTTGTCAGAAATCCATGAAGTCACTGACAAGTGGACTGAGTCATGTTGGTAGATGTAAGTTACCTGGTTGGGGTCCGAGAGATAATAGTCACCGGTGGTTAGAGAACTTGAACGACATGGCTCAGAATCGTTTGCAATGATACAACAGGTGCATCCACTTTTTGTGTTCTCTCAAACTCTAACCTTCTGAATTTCTTATAATCTCTACATTTCTCCTTCTAAATTTATCTTACTGAATTATACTTCTCGAATAATATTTTCGCTCCTTAATCTTCTCCATTACTGCTAATACTTCTATTATTGCTATCACTGTTGTATTTGAACTGACAGTTGCGTCTGTGTGCTGGTGTGGTATGGCAACCTGAACTGATGTACTAACGCACGAAGTTCTGTGTAGTATCTGTCCGTCTGAATAGTGGTTAGCACTGGGATCCAAAAGTTGTTAGCTGGGCGCGCATACTTGCATTTCAGAATTAACTAGTTCACTACGTGTCGTTTTTGCTTTATTTACTTAGTTGAAAAAAAAATCACACCCAAAATTCTTTTTAATTGTATCTTTCATAGTTGTAGTCTCTCGTTTGTATGGTTTATTCATTTTGTAATACTTGAAAGAATGTAATTCATTGATTTGATTTATTGAACTCAGTTTTTCATCATGATTGTCCTATTACACTTTGATCCTTTTCTTATATTTAATATTTAAGTTGACTACTGGTAACTGTAAACTTAAGAATAAAGCTTTAACAATGAATATCTTCGTACGATTGACAGTAGGGAAGGTCCACGCTCTGTCTCCAAATGCTTTCAAGTGGCCACGAGTCAGTCAGTCAGATGCAACGAGTATTTAGCCACCGTCCGAGAAGTCTTACTTTATCCTTGTGGTTAGAGCGTTGTTTACAAAGTTGAGGCGATGAACAGTTCATATATATGGCACCTAGACCGGGTTGTTTAGTACGCTGGATCCACTTAGTATACATGGGCTGCATGATCCTAATAGAACGAATGGCATATATGTACCTAGTGTTCGTCACCGGACATCATCAGTCTGCATCTTCCTATGCCGTTTCACTTCCTAGTGGATTAGATCAAAGGTTCAGGGAATTGGGATCCCTTAGAAAATCACCTGTTTCGGTTTGAGCAGCCGGTTGATATCCCACCATTCCACCCGCAAATGCATTGATTTATCTGGAGTGCCCGACTGCCTCGACGAGCTTTGTTTTATAGTGTAGGAATAGGTTGGAAGAAAGATAGGAGTGGCCAGACAAAAATATGGCAGCAATCCATGAAGTCACTGCCAAGTGGACTGAATCATGTCGGTAGGTTTCGACTACCTGGTTGGGGCCCACGAGATAATCATAATCGATGGTTTGTGACGTGGCTCAAAATCGTTTGCGATGTCACCGGTGTATTCATTCTTTGTGTTCTCTCAAATCCTAAACTTCTGGATTCTTCAACACCTCTAGTTTTGCCTTTTTAAACTTATCTCACAGAATCATACTTCTTGAATAATGTCTTCTAATCCTAACCTCTCCGATTACTTCTAATACCTTTCCTACCTCTACTACTACTATAGGATTGGAATTGATAATTGCATCTCTGCGTGCTAATGTGGTATGGCATTATGAACTGATCGCACGTACGTACGAAGTTCTACGTTGCATCTAAATGACTGAGCCTGATATAGCCTAATTCATTCTAGTCAATGCTTATTATGATTGAATAATGTTTGAGTGTTTACGTGTACCTACCCTACCTACCTACCAATTAAGTTACATTATGTGTGTCATGTTTGTTGGTTTGCTTTGATTCGGTTTTGATGTTTTTTTCTCATGGCAATGTTTACACAATTCATCATCATCATCAAAGTTATTATGTGCCAAAATACTTTCATTTTTCTTAAATAAACTAAGAGATTATGTCTTATTATTAATACGATTATTGTTATTATTATTATTATTATTATTATTATTCTCATATCATCGTAATCTTTTTTTTATCGATCTTGTTGTTCATTTTTTATTGAGTCAAATAAAACAACCAGTGAGCTCAGATTGAAATTCTCCTGTTTTAAAAATTAAAATTTCGCAATAAGAAAATGCACTTCATTTAAACGAAACTAATTATTGGTTTGTTTTTATTTTTTGTTCATTGAAACAAACACTGAATTGATTCGACATTCAAATTTAATTTTAGACTTTAATTATTTCATAATTCAAATGTTTATTAATCATTCATTAGATAAATTTATTGTTTGTTTGACTGTCTTTCAATGGATGATTTCTACATACAATGTTCAATGATGAAATGATGGGGTTTTATACATTTGTTTTACTCTTTGATCAATTTTCAAAATTGTAATCGTGAATGAATCATTATTAGACCACTATTACAAACTTGGAAACATAGAATTTCGTACGTAGGTACATTAGTTCATATTGCCATACCACATTAGCACAGAGACGCAATTATCAATTGAAATCCCATAGTGGTAAAGATAATAGGAGTACTACTGTTAATAGAGAGGATTAGGGTTGCAATATATTATTCAAGAAGAATAATTCATTGAGATAGGTTTAGAAAGACAAAAGTAGAGGGTATTGACGAATCGAGAAGATTAGGGTTTGAGAGAACACAAAAAATGAATGCACCTGCGCCATTACAAACGATTTTGAGCCATGCCATTCAAGGGCTCTAACCATAGGTTACTATCATCTCGCGGACCCCGACTAGGTAGTCTACATCTACCAGCATAATTCAATTCACTTGTCAGTGACTTCATGGATTTGTGCCATGTTTTGGTCTGACCGCCCCTAACTTTTTTTCTAACCTACTCCTGCACCACAAAACAAAGCTCATCGAGCCAGTCGATGGTTAGGCATACGTAACACATGTCCCAACCACCCTAACTAATGAAAATTCAATACTTCGTCTATTAGTCTGCCATCCTTACGTAGTACTCACTTCCTAACAACAGCATCTCATACTCGGTTGTCCCCTGATACACGAGCAATGCTTCTGTGAAAACTATGATCGAATACTAGTAACCTACGCATATCTTCTACTCTTAACGGCCACGTTTAGGATCCATATATCAACCCCAGTACTTTCTGATTTTCAGCTTTGTGGTAAAATAGTTAAGCTTAGTTTTCCCAGTATTACTGATATCAATGCAAACTTATTCTTTGACATTTTTTTTTATGTTTTCATGCCTTTTTTTCTCCTTTTTCATTTTTATCTAGCTTGTTTCTTTTCACATTATCTTGTATATAATACTACTAATCAGAATATCAATTCAAAATTCATTCATCAACCAATTTAATTTTAATCAGTGTAAATGGTTTAATTTGGTATCAAGGTAACCCATTAGCTGATACACAGGATCCAGATCCATTAGGACAATTTCATTGGTTACGTCAAACATTTCAATGGGCTAGAAAACGAAAAGATAAAGTAAGATTACTTGTTTTTTTTCTAAGTTGTACTATGCTACAATGTTGTTCATGGTGTGTACTCTGACAAGCCGGCGGTCAATATCTGTTTTCGAATTTATGATTATTTTTGAAAAGTGTGTCTCATTTCATGTTGCCATACATCACATTATCTTCTGAATTGATCATGACCGGTTTTTTCCTCTTTTTAAATTCAGTTCACTGGGATATATTTCGCGAAGCATATGTTCGATCCCTAATCTTGCGGATGACCGCTACTACCTCTGCTACCCTCGGATTTAAATTGACGATTCCATCTTTCTGTGCTAATTTGGTAATGTCAGCTTGAACATATGTACTTACATACGAAGTTGTACAGTGTAGCTGACTAACTGTGACTAATTTTTGTCTCATGTGTTGTGTTACGAGTATGATGGCGGAGGTCACTTCTAGGCTGCGCACACCGTGGAAGGGTGTTTCTCGATGGCGCGAGATCCTAAAGTCTTAGCTAATGAAGCCTGTTGCCCTATTTGACACAATGCCCGTACATTAAACGCTCTAATATGCAGTCTAGAACGGGGTTTCGGGAGACCAGGAATAACTGTTCGTGAACTCGCATCGTCTGCATTAGCGGTGCAGTGAGAAAAGGGACTGTGAGTAGAGTTCGTTGTGGAGAGAAGAGAGGTGTGTGTGGGTGTAGGAAGGATTTGATTTCGACCAATTTGGTCTCGTGAGCTGTTACGGGTATGATGGTGGTTGTCAGTTACCGGCTGCCCACTCCGTTGAAGGTTGTTTCTTGAGGGACCTGAAAAGGAAGATATATTAGTGTTGGTGTTAGAGACCTGGGAGCGTGACCGCAGAACCCAACGGACAACTGCTTCAGGCCGGTCACGCACGGCCTTTTGATTAAAGGTTTTTTTTTTTTTTTTCCGCTCTTAAAAGCCTTTAGTGGGCACCGTTACCGACGGAGACGGAAATCCATGAGGTAGGGTGAGGTGTGACATTTTTAGGGCCGACCTTTTCTAACCCTTCCTTCCTTGTGAGAAGGCAGCATCACTGCAGATGCTGATTGTCCAAGGGAAACACCTTACTGTTGTCACACTCCTCTGCAGTCAGCAGTACGACTTCGTCCTCAGACCTTGTGTAGCTGCTTTTAATCTCATAGTTCTGCAATCGACCTGCCTGGCATGGTAGAAGCTCCAGGAAGATAAGTTCCAACCAATATAGTTCTGTTGGGTCATCACGAAAGGGAAGCCTGACCACCACGTCAAGGTAGCAGCTTCGGTCGGGAAATTGGTAGCTCCGCTGACTTAACTGACTGACATATCACATGAGCAATACGAGTAAAGTAATAATTATGCTATCGAAAACAAAAAATCCTAAGACTTAACTTAATTGCTTAACGAAAATGTATTTTGAGCTCAAAACAGAAAAATGATATTCAAGTCAACATTTGAGGCGAAGGTAACAGAGACTTATTGCAACCTTTCTGTAATATGTGAATCAGTCAATGCGCCAGATGGAATACACATCTATTTGCGAAGAAAACACGTATTGTATATTTGCCACCCAAGCACAAATCTCACATCTCTTTTGATCTTCAAAATACAATCTGATCACGCCATGTATTACAATCTGCTGACCCTCTTCTGTCTGTCTGGCAACAACTTCTAGGCGAAACATCGCTGCATACTACTTATATGCTGTCTTATGAGTAGCATCCATTACACTACGATAATGTCGAACTTTTTTTTTCACTCTGTAACATCAATTCATTACCTGCTTCGTTTGTTTTTTGTTTCTTATTATCATTGAAGGTTTTACTTGTTAGTCATTTTCCTCCGGGTGCTTCAGAGAATGCTCCACAATATTATCGTTTTCTTCGTAAAGAAATGAATGATCAATTTGTGAATTTATTAATTGAAAATGCTGATTTATTAATGGCTGGTTTATTTGCTCATGAACATGTGGATAGTTTTCGTTTATTAGTTTCGAAATCAAGTTAGTACATATTTTTATCCATAGATATGTATAAGATGATATAATTTCTATTTGAATGTTCTGTATGTGCCAATTGTCTGAAGTTGTTTTCAAGTGGAAGAATGGTTAAATGAATAATTCTTATGGTTAAGGTCATGTGTGTTTTTGTTTTAACGCTTGGTTAAATAATTCTCAGCTAAATCCTATTGCTTAGTATTCTCTGACCATAATACACTGGACAAGTTCCAAAGAATCAAAAACACGGTTGAACATGAAAAGATTATATTCTAAATAGCAAGGTTAGATGGAAATCCGAAAGCGAAGGCGAAATAAATACAACGTTAGATTCTTTTTTCATAAGAAGATTCTGGTTTGTAATTCACGTGATCGACTGTAATAGATTTAGACAATCAGCATGCAGCTAACAACACGAGAATTTTCTACCCTGTTCTCCAAGAATCGATCAGGCGCTGATTGGATAGGAAATTAACCAATCAGCGCGCAGCAACGTACTCATGCTTTAATTCAATATATGTCCCACTAACAGTTTTTATGTGTGCTCTGAACACATTAGGCTTGTACGCTATATTATCAGGTATTATTATTAATAGGACAGGATAATGATTGGGACATCTAAATATTTATACGTCACATAAACCAATGTATG